GGCAGGCTGTAGCACTGATATGGGGTGGGGGCTTGAGTCGACAAGCACTTGGTTTGAGTGTGGGGGCATTGGAGGGAGGGGCATCGGGCTGAGTGATCCTGCTCTTTACTGCTTGCAAACAATGGCAGGATTACGTTGGAGCAGGATACCATGTGAGGGGGATTGCGCCTGGGGAGCATCCTCTCCGTGTCCCTCACCGGGACTTTGGAGCAACCACAACAGGGACTGCTCCAAAAACTCCAGCCCAGGTTTTGTTTTCTGCAAATAAATGCCCATGCAGTGAATGCCCATGCAGCTAGTGCAGGTCTGGGAGTGCAACCATGCCCTGGCTGGGGTGTCTGGGGCCTGGGGTGAAGGAGCTGCCGGGCCCAGGATGGAATTGGCTGGCAGGAAATATCCCCTCCCAGCGCAGGTGACCTCCCCGCCATGACTGTCTCCAACTCACCTCTGGCTGTTTGCTTGCAGTCCTGTTCTGGCGGTCGAACACTGACTTTCTGTACAAGGAGCCGGCTGAGAGGTGCAGCCACCAAGCCGTGCGCTGCGACGGGGTGGCCGACTGCTCCCAGAAGAGCGATGAGCTGGACTGCGGTAACACACCTGGGACGCAGGGGTCCCGCAGGGCGAGCGGGGAGCGGGACAGGCTCTAGAGTCAGGCTGCTGCTTTCATCCCTGCCCCATGCCCTGTCTTAGGGCCTCGTGCTCTAGGCTCTGAGTGAGCCCCCAGATGTGACCAGGTCCCTGGGGCAGGAGTTTGCACTGATGCCAAAGACGGCACAAGGGCATGGGGCCCAGGGAATGCTGAGACCCCCGACGTGCAGTACCTGGGCAGAGGCTGGGGCCCCTGGCGTGAGGGGGGGCAGCGGCTGGGCTGGCAGGGTGTAGTCACGGACCTGATTTGCTCTCACATGTTGGGCAGCGCCTGAAGCTAGTGCGTGTGATGACTGTGGTGAGGCCTGTGTGGGGTTAGCTGGTGCTCCCAATTCCCAGGGGGATTCAGAACTGGCACCAATTACACACACACACGGCACCGCCGAGAGCCCCGCAGGGAGGCCAAGGCTGGAGGGGACAAAGGGGCTGGGCTGGGCTCTCCCTGCACTGGTTTCCAGTGAACAGCGTGAGGCATGTTGGCCGGGGCTGCACGGAGGACGCTAGTTCTGCCCTTGGCTGCCCCTGCCCCCTGGAGAAATGGAGGCCTTTGGTCCCCAGCTGTCGCCTGGTGCTGGGGTGGAGCTCATGTCACACTGCACATCGGGGTTCTCCTCACCCCCTGGGCCTGGCACCTGTCAGTTCAGTGGGGCTGCTCCTGGTTTACGCCTCTGGGCAGGAGAGGAGAATCAGCCTGGTCATTTGCCAGCTTTGGTGCATGACGATGACACAACGGCCCAAGTTCAGTCCTGGTGCAAGTGGGCTGGGCTCTTTGCCAGGCCCAGGTGAGCTGCAGCTGCAGTACTGCCTGTAGCCCCTGCTGATTCGGCTGTCTCCTTCCTTTGCGCCTGCAGTGCGGTTTAGGTGGGATCAGTCTCTGCTCCACGTCTACTCCAGCACAGAGAATCAATGGCTGCCTGTCTGCAGCAGTGCCTGGAACGACTCCTTCTCCAGGAAGACCTGCCAGCAACTGGGATTTCAAAGGTAAGTCCCCAGGGACGGGCACTGTGTGTGTAGTGATGGGGGACGGAAGCCAGAGAGCCCAGCCCACGCCCGAAATGACCTGCTCCCGGGCTCCCCACGTCCAGGGGGAGCTTTCCAAAGGCACAAGGGAGCATGAAG